GTCTCACGTCGCCGCCGAAATGTTATAACATTATATAATATACAGAGTGTGACACAACTATAGGTATCATGCTCACTACTGCAATTTTCCCCTTAGATTATAAGTATTAAGTATAAGAAGCTGACTGAAATACTATATGCTTTTTTTTTTTAAAATTTGTAAGTCTTAAACACCATGTTTTCAAAAACCTTTACTACTTAGCTWGTTAACTGCGGCAATAAAAACACATTTTTTTACTGTAAATTGTCAAGCTGATATTTATTTTGTTGATGTAGACAGCAAATACAGATGCAAGTACTTACCCACTTGTAGTGTCATTGACGTTTTCATATTCTTAGGTCATTAATCATTGAGATTTATCTGCTAAAAATTTCATGGGAATATTTTAACGGATCAAAGTATTTAAAAATAAGATTTTTATAAGTAGTTACCCATAATGAACAATTAAAAACCGGAATTTATACATAAATAATTTATGAATACAAAGGGGTGAGAATGTGAGATGTTGAGATGTTTGGTGAATCATCCTGTATATTCTAATAAATTATCGATTGGATTGCCCAGAAGACCAGTGCGCACCCTACAAGTGGCCAACAACTAAAAATCAATTCATGTTATCGTGCTGTTAAATWCAGATTAAATATAAWAATAATTATAATAAMAATCTATATATTAATTATTTTCAATTTTAATGATCATTCAACTTTTCTTTTCTTTTTTTTGGTCAGTATCCTATACTGAGTTTTTGGTAATCCTACCATTATAAGGCTATAGCGTACAACGTACTAATCATTATGGTATAAAACTTATGTTTTATATATTCTTTTATCCCTACACCTGCATAGTTGTATGTTGTATCAAATACAATAATTATTGATTCATTAAGAATATTCTTGTAATAAATATGATTTAGCGATGCATTGTTCAATTATTGAACATTTGATATTTTATAAACTATTATAAATATTAATTACAAATTATAATCGACTATGTGACAAACTGCTATTTTTTTCATTAAAATTATATGTTATTATCTAATAGTAGGTATTTTTAAATAATTAAATGGACAAACTACAATATAATCTTCATTAAAAAATAATAATCAATAATCATATGTGCTATTKTTTAATAAATTACCAACATAAACAAATGTATATTCGGCGTATTAATAAAATACTAAAAGTTCAATAGGCATTTGTACGTATAATAATTAAATCGATAATTCAAAAAGATTATTTTAACTGATGGGAAAATTTAATTAAAAACATATGAATCATATTGCKCTTAAAAAAATTTCAACTAAGTAGATAATATACATATAGGAAAAAGAAATACATTACATACTTTGTTTCACAGGAAGATTTTCTGGTAATAGGTATAGTAATACGATGACACAAGAAAGACTCTCAGCATTAGCAGTTTTGTCCATTGAAACGAAAATTGCAAATAATTTAAATTACGAAGATATACTTAAAACATTTAGTGAAGCAAAAAGCCGAAAAGTCCATTTCTTGTAAATAAAAAAAAATGAAACTTCTAACAGTATTATTAATTTAAAAAAATATGTATTTAATTTTATAATTATGTATAAATAAAATTATATTGACTACTTT